GCCACACATATTTGGGTAAGTCGGAATTAGACTGCCCAAGAGGTCAATACCAATTCTTCCATAACAGTTGTCATTACTCTAGAGCAAATATGTGATACCCTGACCCGCAAGCCACGTAAAATCGGATGTATCGGCATCGAGAACTGAATTTATAGGTAGAACTGAAAATGTGTCGATTCGTGTCAGTTGGTTTAATACTTTAAACGGGTTAAATTACTCAACTCTAACCCAACTCGTTTATTATCGTGTCGGATTCGTTTTTGTCTGTATACATAATTAAGTCGAAATTCTTGATTCAAATTATTATTATTTTTATTCGTATTGTCGTTTATGTTAGTTTTGATTAGTTCGAGACGTAATAATTACAATGAATTACGTTGAATTATTTAAACTTAGTTTAAATTAATATCTGAGTAAATTATTAAATTATAATTATTTTACATATATAATAAATATATTAATAAATCTTAATATATTATAATCAGGTTGTCGTGTCGGGTTCGAATTGAGAGCCCTAACCCTAATCCGGCCAGTCTATTATCGTGTCGGGTTCGTGTCAACCCGTATATATAATCGGGTTGAAATATTTGACTCAAACCCAATTATTTCGTGTTGGATTTGTGTCGAGTCAGTTTTTGCCAACTCTACTTATAAGGCAACACGAATCCTTTCAGTGCACTTCTGCCCTTACTCACGCGCATCCTGGGAGATTTCTTAATGGATCACCCATCCTCAAATTACTTTAGGGCAAAAAACATGTCTAACTTTAGAGTTCTTTCAGTAGAGCTTTCGAGATAAAATTTGTACATTATTGACATAAATAGTCTATTCAATTCATTTAATTACTATTCAATCTCGGATAGTTTGACACCGATTCATCTATGAGAATTAGCCTAACATCTACCCAACTCCCAATTATTACAAAACATGTTTAGTTCTAAAATTCTTTCAAATGAGTTCACGAAAAGGAATATGAATATTATTAATATGAGTAGTCTATTCAATTAATTTAATATGTATTCATCTCTATTGAATACCGAAGTACCACATCACCTATTGTCCCATATTTTTCTGGCACATAATTTAAGAAATATTGATAATTTAATAATAATAATGAGTGTGATGTTATGTTAAATTTTCGAGCTTGCTCAACTAGTGAATGTGTGCATTAATTTAGATATAGAAAATAGTGACTGCAATAATATCGGAAAAATAAAAATAATTTTTCATTAGGACCATATTTTTTTGTTAATAACAAAAAAACAATTGATTTGATATGAACAAAAATAGTAAAATGAGATAATTCATCGTGCAACTATAATGAAATGTATATATATATTATTACATCTAGTACCTATTTATGCCATTTTAGACACATCTTACGTTAGCAATATTCACTCGATGGCCAACTTAGGGTGTCATGACTAAGACACATTCATGCCCACAACCTTGCGGGTACTTCTCGAAGTACTTGTGGACATTAACAAATGAGCCGAGGCAATAGATAATTAATGCTACTCAAGTCCTTTGAACTAAGTAGTCGATGATCAAATGGGATGCATTTGTTCGACAAAGAATGGAACCCGGCATGTGGGTGTAGCTTTCGAGCGCAAATCTTGCCCTTTTTTTTTGTGACACTTTGACGAGGCAAGTACATGAAAATAATAATTGTAGCTTAAGTCGCCCTTAAGGGACCCGACGAAGAAGGCACATAGAAATAGCGCTTTAATCCAAGAAGACAACGGGTATGATATAATGTGGTTTACTTCGTCGTTTAATTATATTAATGATTGAACATGGGACATGGTGTTTGATTGCTCCAAGCGCTTCGAGACAAAAACTTGTAAGGATTAATTGGTTTTCAAACTTGTAAGGATTGGAATGCTTGTCCATTGTTTATACACTCTACGACGAAAAAGTTTGTGTCGCTATTATGTCGAAAAAGAAAATTCAATATTGTTAAAAATAATAAAGTTCGATAGTCCTCATATGTCTTACAAGATGTATATCGTGGTGTTCATATCTTAAATCTCTTTACTATAATTTTTTATATTAGAAGTTCTATTATTTGATATATATATATATATATTATTTTGTTACTATGCATTTTTAAGAATATATACAATTATCTTTTATAAATTTTATAAAATGTCATCAAAATAACAAACATAAAACACAAACACAACCAAAACATTTTTACACACCCAAGGAGCTTTGAGAATATGATGCTTTATTAATTATTATATATTCAATTTTGTTTTCACAATATTCATTAATTTTTGCTCCTTAAAAATTTCCGAAAACTCATTTTTAATTTAAGATTTATAGTGTTTTTTTTTTTAAAAAAAATCAAAATACCAAATTAAATTTAAAACATAGGAGCTTTGTTTACCTGCTTTTTTTTTTTTTTTTTTTTCTAAATTTTTACTATACAATTCTCTATGAAATACATTATTTTTTTTTACAGAAAAAAGTCACCTAATTCACTATTTAAACCAAAAACCAAACATCTAACAAAAAAGACAAAAACAAAAAAAAAACCAAATTAATATATTAAATTAATTTAATTTGGTCATGCATGCATGCATTCACCAAACCCTTCACAATTTAAATCCAGAATTTAAACCCTTCACCAAAACCCACCCCACCCCATTTACCCGTCGTGCGGTCAATCAAATATTTCACTTATTCCGTGATCATAATTTAATATAATACAGAAGAAGAGATCGTCTCCACATGAATAGTGTGATTCACTCTTTTGTGTTTTAATACAGTAAATAATTGGGAGGATTTTTTTAAAAAATTATCTAATGAAAATAAAATAACAAAACAATTTAATTAATAGAGAACTAGCTACTAAGGGAATCTAGCTCAATGAATGATGCAGTTATGACACTTGTATTCTATCGTTGATTCAATAAAGTTAATTCTTATTAAAATATCAATAAATTGATTATAGTTATTAACAAGCTCTGACAACCAATTTTTCCTTACAGTGTAGGTAATTAAGATACGACCGTTAACTACCCATAATTAGGCGGCTAATAAACTTAAGTGCGCCCATAAGAAATATTTTCTAATCGCATTTTAATCTAGAAAAACCCAATTCAAAACAATTACTACCTAAGATGAGCAATTATGTTTGATTGTCTAACCCCGGAAAGAAACTATTCAACCTGGTTGTCACCTATTCAAATGCGAATACAATTACGGATATCCTATTTGAATTGACTTTAGATTATCAGACTAATTTAAATATTGGTATCAAAATATCAAATCAATCTAACTATTACAAACGTTATTTTCAGGATTAAACAAATATTGGTAATAAAAAAAAACTTTTACAAAGAAAATCTAAGAATCTCTAAAACATATGGACCAAAACATTATCATCCCCAAACCAGAAAAATATATACTCTATAATCAAATAGCAAAGAAGAAAAGAGAAAAATAAAGTCATAGTAAGAGGGAAATCTTCACTCTCGATTTGCTCTTGCTCGTGTGTGTATTTTCTCTTTGGCCGTTTTCCTTCCTTTTTTTTTGTGTGTGATCCATTCCTTTTATTTAATTTTTGCGCTAATTATTTTGTATTTGGAGTTTTGGGTCTTTAATTAAATTCTCATGTCAGAATGGTGTCATGACTAACTTGATTGTCCAATACTGATTTTTTTCTTTTATTTTTCTCCAAATTCACCAAATTTATTTTTTCTTTTGTGCATATAAAAAATAAACAATACGCACCGAAATTAGGTAGAATCTAATCAAAATCAATCATATATCGCATATAACATAAACATTTAAGCGTATGCGATTTCTAACCATCACCATTCATCAATTTTAATATATTTGTAAATTTTAATTTATTTGTAATTCTTGCTATATATATGTATGTATGTTATTACAATCGTCGAATTTGGTGGGCATGCATTCAAAATTTATCTGTCCAAAGCAACTTCTTCACTTTACCTTTTTCACCATCACCCCCAAATTTATTTATTTTTATTATTTTTTAATAAAAAAAAGTTATTTGTATAAGGTCCCCAACCAAACCCCCCCCCCCCCCCCCCCCCCCTCTCTTAAATTTCCCTAATTACATTCAATAAATACACATACTAAATATATATATATAATTAAGAGAACTCAAATTCTACCCTTTAAGTTGGATGATAATATTTTTTATTACTCTCTCCGTCCCAAATACCGTGTCTGCTACACTGTAGACACGATATTTTAGGAGGAGTGTAATTAGTAAATAATTAAGAATGTATCAGTGAAAAGAATTATTTTATAATATAAATAATTATAAATTAAGATTAAGATAACTAATTAGTTTAATTAAAATTTTAAAAAATAAAATTAAAAAATTTAAAATAAGATTAAAGTGTGTAATCATTTTTCAAGAAAAGAAAGTGACATAGTATGTGAAACGGATAGAAATGACAACGTGGACATAATATCTTGGGACGGAGGGAGTAGTAATTTGATTATATATAATTGTGTTATAATTAATTACATGATTTTGTGTATATATATATATGCTTACAATCCTTAAAGTCCGAAAGACTGTCACCAATATCCCACGCACCACTTTATTTCAAGAAATTCATGATTACTTACAAGGAATTCGGGAGTTCACTCCTTGGACTCCCCATACTATTACTGAGGCCTGGAGTTGTTTTGGATCGGAGAGCCTGGGACTACACAGAAATAAATTAAATTGGAATAATACAATGATTTTATTTTTTCCAACCCTAGAAACCATTATATATACATTAGTGGAGGACCACTCTAGAGATGAAGGTATCCCATGCATTCTACGAATGTGATTACTAAAAATTATATAATTATCAAATTAATTATTTTAATTTGTTTGACATTTACTTTCTTGTCTTAGCATCTTCAATCATATACATATCTTAAATATTAAATAATACACATCAAATTCTTTGCGTTTGCTCGAATAAACCTGTGACGTGTACAAAATGCAATACATATTAAAATACGTTTAATTTCTTGATTTTATTTATATTTTTTTAATGTACATATGGGTATTTGAAATAAAATTAGACATTTTACATATTATATATAAATTTGTATATATGTTACGTTAGAACTCCGTTAATGAGACGTTATCGTGAGTCTCATCCAGTGACGGCGACCGTAACGGCGGCGGCTGGGCCTGAAAATACTCGACGAAACTAACGGCGGGATTTCCCGTCATCTGATCCCTCTCAGATTCTAACGGCAGAAACGGCGGCCGTGAGACTTCCGTTAGCAATTCCCACCTCAATCCACGGAAGAAGCCGTGACCCTTAATCTCCGACGCGCCGCCGTACCCAAGGCGGCGCGTGGGATCTTTTTCGAGTAGATTTTTGATCAAGTCTGTTAGTAAATTGGGTTTTCCCATGAATTTTGGGTCGGCGAGAAGTATTCGCCGGAAAGTGTCTTTCCGATCTCTTCCCTTGAACGGCGTCGTTCCGTACAACATTTCGTAGGCGAGGATTCCGACGGCCCACCAATCGACGGCGAAGTCGTGGCCGTCGCCGCGTATGACCTCCGGCGAAAGGTATTCCTCCGTGCCGACGAAGGAGTAGCACCGCTCGTCGGCGGAGGAGTCGCCGGCGGCGGCAGCGGCGGCGGCCGGAGCTCTTCTGCTCACGGGCGAAACACGTGCGCTCTTGGATTTCTTCTGGAAGGTTCTTTTCTTTTTCCTCGTCGGCTTGTCCTCCTCGCGGTCGGAGTAAAAGTCACGTGCGCGGCGGCCGGCGCCGGGCTCCCGCCGCGCCTGCAAGTCACGTGACAAGTCGAAGTCCGTGAGGGTCACGTGACCGGAGAGCTGCACGAGAATGTTTTCCGGCTTGAGGTCGCGGTAGACAATGCCGCGGCCGTGGAGGTACTCGACGGCGGAGACGATCTCCGCCACGTAGAAGCGGATGACGGCGGCGGAGAAGACGCCGTCGCTCTGGCGGTGGCGGAGGGCGTTGAGGTCACCGCCGGGGCAGTACGGAATGCCCCAGCATATGAAGTCGCGATCCTCAGAAAATCCAATTAGCGGCGGCAGAAAGGGGTGGCCGGCGGCGAGGCGGCTGAGGACGGCGATCTCGTGGCGGGCCCGGCGGTCGGCGTGGTGGCGGGCGGAGGATTTTTGGACTACCTTGAGAGCGAAGGGATGATCGGAGGAGACGTCGGAGACGAGGAAGACGGTGCCGGTGGCGCCTTTTCCGAGGAGTTTGATGACCCGCAGATTGTCTACACAAAGCTCCGGCGGAGGAGCTTTGCTGTTTTCCATTTATGGGATTTTTTGTAAAGCAGGCAGAATGAAAAATGCTATGATGACCAGTTATATATATATATATTTATATATACACACATGTAGTTATTATTAATAATTAATTATTATTATTATTATTTGTGTTTTTTTTTAGTTTGAAATGATAAGTTGTTTTTAGATTCTATTTAAATAGTATGTTGCTATAATATTTTGTTTTAGAGAAAATAATATTATTTTTCTTAGACTCTAAAGATTTAGTTTATTTTTTGTATGTGATTTTTTTAGTATTGATTATTATATCAAAATATTATAAAATTTTTTAAAAAATTGCAAAATTACTTTAATTAATATAAGAATATTTGTAATTAAGTACAATGACGTAAAATGTAAATGAAAATCGAAGGAGGGAGGGAGTATATTTTTATTGACAACTGTATGAATAATGTTGATTTTGATTTGAAATGATAAATAAACAAATACGCAGTTTGATAATAATTATTATTGGTAAAGTTAAATTGGATTGAATTTATTTATTTTTTATTGTAACTTAAATAATATTTGAATATTATATTTTTTAAAAACTAATTATTTTTATTAAAAATTATACCGATTAAATAATTATTATAATTTTGGCTTATTAAAAACAAAAGTTCATGTCTATTTTTTTATTTTCATATGTTTTACTTTATTCTGTCACTTTTTTTTTTATAAAAGATTTATACACTTTATCTCATATTAAATTTTATAATTTATAATTTTTTAATTTTAATTATATTAATTAGTTATTTTAATGTTAATCTAAAATTATTTTTATTATACGATAGTTATTTTTACTAATACATGATCACGATAGTCGGGACAGAGAAAATATTTTTTTTTATATAGTACAACAATATTCTTTAATATAAAAAAACATTTACTCAATTTCTAAAAGTATAACAAATTTAAAAAATAATCGAATCTTAAACTAATTTAAATTATATACTTATATATATATTTTATTTATAAATATTTTAATTATTTATTTTTATTTATATTTTATTAGAACTACAAAAATGACACGACCCAAAAACCTGTCTCAAGCCGGATACAAAAATATTTTTAATTTCATTTAATTAAAATATGACCATACAAAATGACAAAAAAGTAGGGTATATTCTTTTGTGTTTTTCTTTTCGCTATATATAAATATGTTTACTATTTATTTTTTTTCTTCAAAATATTATATTTAATAATAACTTTTGATAATCCAACTTAATATATCCAAATGCATGTATAGCTTTTCAAAATAAAAATAAAAATATTTACAACAAATTTACAAGTTTACAGTATTCCCTCTGTCTCGTATCTATATATCCATTTATTTTTTATACGGAATTTTAGAAATATTAGTATTATATTAGAATATATTAGAAATAAAGATAAAAAGACTAAATTGCTCTTATTGGTATTGTATGATATAAATGTAATGACATTTGTGTAATATAATGTAAATTGGAAGGATATTTGTAACGTTAAGTAGATAGTACAGTTACTAAAAAAAAGAAATAGATACTTGAGATGGCCGAAAATAAAAAAATGAATAGATTGTTAATGGACAAACGAATTATTATTTAATGATACCGTGAACATAAAAATATAAGACTCCCTCCGTCCCATTGAAAGGTTATCATTTTTCATTTTCGTCCGTCCCAAAACAAGCTTACAATTTCCTAATTTAGTAATTGTACTACCTATTTAACATAATAAATACAATTTCAATTTACGATATATTATACAAATGCCATTACTTTTACATTACACCATACTAATATAAGTATTTTTGTCTTTTTTATTACAGTCCAATATAATACTAATATTAAAAAATCTACGTGCAAAACGTAAACATAGTCCTTCCAACTGCACGGAGGAAGTCCTATAAATTTATATTATTATATTATAATTTAGTAATTCAACCTTATATATATATTTTAAAAATATGATTCGATTATTTTTCTCTATTATCACAATGTATATATACATGTGATCATTATACATCTAAATTGTTCTTTTAACATTTTTTTTTTCTAATTTATATATAATTGCATGTATATATTGAATATATACATTCCAATAATTAATCTTAAAATGTCTCAATTATTTATTTAATCAGTATATATAAGCAATCAATTATTTAATTAGGCAACTTTATTAACACAATGACATACAGAAATGGAGCATTATCTAGTTGATTTATTAAATTAATTTATTAGTGGTGCATCACTATGTGTTAAGTAATTCGAGAATAATATTAATTAATTAGTTATTTAATTAATGGTGGATTTGTTGATTTGATACCATAAATATAATAATAATTATTATTAGATAAAATTGTGGTTTTGATCGTTTCGTCCTAAATATGGTGCAATATTTGTTTTCAACACGGGAATTCAGGTAAGTAGTATTAAATTTGATAATTTGGAAAGTAAATAATACGATGAAAGAGAAAAGTGTATATTTATTTGAGTAATGTAATAGGATAAAATTTGAAGTATAGATTAAATATATTTAATTATTTTTTATTTTAAAAATATTGTATAAAAATTAATTAATCCAAGGAAATTTGATTTACAATAGAAAATATTTGATAAATCATTGTAAACGAAATTATTAATTGGTCAATAATAGTGTACCATTAGTCAATTAATTATATTCGGTCTCCAATTATATATATATATATATATACTTTTATACTTTATGATCACTTTATATCATTTTATATTATTGTTTTGATCTTATAATTTGTATTTCTTTTGTCTTAAACTAATTGATTATTTTGTTTATTAAAGTAAAAATAATAAAATTATGAATATATAAAATTATTTTATATAAATAAATTATGCATAAGTTTAATAAAGAAAAATATAAAATAATTATCTTAGATAGAGTAGTAATTAATAATTGAAAAGTTTGTCTACTTTGAGGTTTGATCTTCTATTTTTATTTTAAATTTTAATTTAAATAGTAAATTGAATGTGATATTTTCTTTAAAATAAAATATTCGGGTAAATAATATAATAATAATACATGCATACAAATTGGTTTGTTTGATAGTGCATTTGGTATGAAATATTTTTTTTTAAATAATATTTTAATACGATAGTTTTGTAAAAAAAAAATTAAATTCAAATCAAACAAAGGCATTTGTTTGTTTGTTTTATATTTTAGTTTGAAAAGATATATTACTACGTGGGACATAAAAAATTATGTATATAATATAAAAATAATAAGTATATATAATATATTAATTTTAAATAAAAATATATTCTCACAATTTTATTTATTTTCAAAATTATTAAAAAGTAAAATAAAATTAAAACACCTATGAACACTTGTTTACACTCGTATTATAAGTTTGTTATTTGTGATTTTTAAACTGAAATAACATTATTTATTTTCAAAATTTTTAATAAAAATATAATATTTTTTTTTCAAAAATATCGAATTAAATTATTATTTAAATATAATATTACATTTCAAATCACAATCAAATAAATTCAAAATGTTTTCTTTTTGTGTTTTGGTTTGAACAAAATTTTTTAATGTAAAATGTAAAATATTGTCTATATAATATATAATTAAATAAATATATGTAATATATTATTTTTTTAAAAAAAATATGTTAAAAAATATTTGGAAAAGAAACAAACCACCATATACTTTCTAGAAAAAATCACTTTCTACAACGTAGTACTCCATCCGTCTAAAACGAAAGGTGTATTTGGAGTTTTGTAGTAAATTAATAAATAATAATATTTTATTAGTTAGTGAAAATATATAAATTTTTTTTTGATATTTTTGCCATTTGACTTTATATATAAAATAATTGTATGTGTAATGATATGTTTGTAATTTAAGTAAAAGTTAAAAATATTTTGATATTGTATATGATTATTTTTTCTAAAATAGAAAAGAAATACTTTGAAGTGGGACAGACTAAAAATAATACTTTGAATTAAAACGGAGAGAACATTTATTTTTCAATATTTACCCATAGTTATATTTATTTAAGAAAACATTACATAAAATATATCTTTTATTAAAATATATTTTTTATTTTAACTATTATATTTAACATTTATTTATATTATATTATATATTTTTAAATTTTGATCTCTTATATATTTAAATAGTAATGAAATATTATATTTTATAAAATAAAATTAAAATTTTAAAAGAATTATATATCATTTCACGCTAAAGAAAATAATATAAAATTTCAAAATAAACAAAGTCCTATTATACTATATATTTACTACTATTCCGTGCGACATCCAAAGGTATTTTTTTTATTATTTTGTTTTACGTGAATTTTAATTATATTTTAACAACAATTCATAATATTTTATATATTTAAATATCTTGTCCACATATTTTAAATAATTTTAATAAAATTAATGTAAAATAAATATAAAAATATTTACAATATATAATGGAAATCATACTTAAAAAAAAATATTTATTTATATTTGGACAAAAAGATAAATACCTTAATTCATATCAAACAAAATTTTATACTAGTAAGGGCCCGTAAAATTATTAATAAAAATGTAGGATAAATTATTTTTTCTTTTTGTTTTTTAACATAAATCTTTTATTATTTTAGTTTCATAACATGAGTATGTCATAAACTAATTTTGTAAGTGAAAAATTTCGTATTTTTAGTCATCTGGTGCCGGAGATACCTAAGTGGTACCCGCGTGGCTCGCCGGAGCGACATCTCGAAACGTTAATCTTTATTTCACTACAAGAAAAATGTGATTTGTGTTCGAAAAATTTCCTAGAAATTGATTCCGAGGATGTAAAAAAACAAATAAAATATATTTTAAAATTAGGTGGATTCAGATAGTTAAAATGGCTTCGGAACTTCCGAAACCAAAATAAATGGCTTCGAAATTTCCGAGATCAATGTAAAAATATATATTATTATATTAAATGGCTTCGGATTTTCCGAGACTAAATTAAAAATATATTTTACTATATTAAATTGGTTCAAAA